TGCTCCCTGACTGGCCTGGAATCAAGCCGGCAACCAAGGCATGTGCTGTTGACCAGAATCAAATCCGAGGCCCTTCAGTCCACAGGCCAAAACTATACCCACTGAACCAAACCAGCTAGGGAAGTGTCTTGGGTTTGATTCCTGGTCAAGGGCACATACCTGGGTTGCAGGTTGGATCCCCGGCTCTGGTTGGGGCATGTGGAAGGCAACCAATTAATGTCTCTCTCACATTGATATTTCTTTCTCACTCTCCCCCTCCCTCCTTACCTTTCATTTTCTCTAAAAAAATCAATGGAAAAAATATCCTTGGGTGAGTGAGGATTAACAACAACTACAACAACAAAGCTACATTTTATAAAGAAATTATAAAATTATACATTAAAATAAAAAAATTCCACCTTTTTCTAGAATTTCAGATTACTTAAGGAAAGTAATACAGATAAATCTAGGAATATTTTATAATTGCTTTTGAATATAAAAAGGGTGCAAAGTTGATTGGAAGCACTAAAAATGTAGTTAATTACCAATGATATAAACAGCAGTACTTACTGCCTTAGTACCTACATTAATAAAAGGAAACTATTTGTAAATCTGAAATATTTGTAAAACAGAACCAGGAACAAAATTGTTTTGCATTTATTTTTCATATCCTATTGCGCAGTCACCAACAGTCATTGAAAAACTCCAAGACCAAACTTCCACCAAAAGAATAACCTGTACTAGAAACCAGAGTGATGCTCGTGGTTAAAAGTGCTCCTTCTCTTACCTTACCTGCCTTTCCCAGTTTTCCAAGCCAGTGGAATCTATTTTTTCCATTAACAACTTCACCTAAAATGTATCCTGCCTAAAATTTCTTTCCAATATCAGTTGCCATTTAAGTAAGATAAGCTACTGTATACTTGACTTAGTTGCCTTTAAGCAAAATATGCTGTAAAACATTCCAACTTTAAATCAAAAAATTTTGCCATTAATTATAAAATACTTTAATCAAATACACTTAAAGATATAATTTGACAGTCTTACACAAAACAGAGCAGGCCAGTGTTTCCCTAAGTTAGTTCTGTCTGAATCTACTTGAAAGGGTGCTAGATATAAGGAACTATTGATTTTTACTGTACCTTCGGTGTAAGCAGGAAATGTTATTTTATCCAACACACCTTATTAAGAATTCTGCTAGAAAACAGAGATGGTGCCTTCTCGCGATGAGCGTGAAAATTGAGAGCCATGAGAGCATCAGGTCCAACAGAAAAGTAGTTGTTCATTGTGAATTCCTGTGGAAGAGGGTAAGATTTACCAAGAGATTTGCTTCAGTTTAAGCCTGTGTCATGTATTCAATATGTAAATCTGTTTTTATGTTCTTTATGACAATTTAATACTTTCTGCATTTCCTGTCCTCATAGAGCTATTTTATGCTATCCAGTATGTTTAGAAAGAAAGCTTCAGTTCAAAGGCTGATAATTATAGATGTGTTTCCCTTTCCACTTCTGTTTAATATGCTACATCTCAGATCTCATCAAGTAGAGTGACTCTACTTTGCACCTGGGCTTTCCACTCCTGTGTTCCTGTTTCATTTGCTTCTATCAGTCTCAACCCAGGCTCCCAACACCCCCTTAGTTTATCTGACCTCCCGGCCCAGCCTGGATTCCTCAGCCTACATCTCCAGCTCTGTCTTGTCCCTGAGAATAAGCCTGAATGTCCAGCTTCTTGTTCAGTGCACCATGGCCTCAGGTTGAGAAGCTCAAAATCTAACTCATTTTCTTCCTACGCAAACCTGAAACTCTATTTTTCCTATCTTAATGTCATTTCCATGCACCCAGTCATGAAAACTAGAAATCCAGTAGTAAATACATTATTTTTTCTCTCCCCCTAGTACCAGTCGGGTGCCAAGTCTTGGTCAATTCTACTTCAAAATAGTCGATTTTGGGGGATTCTTCCCTTGAAAATGTGGCGTTTAATTTTGAAAGACATACCAGGCCATACATAGTTCCCAACTATATTCCAAGTAGGTGAGAGGCTGAAATCTTAAAATGTTCATCTTTCACTTCCCCCAGTCTGTGGTCTGTCTCTGGATCGGCAATAACTGCCTGAACAGCTACTATGGCTTCATTAATTTGTGTCTGTGGCTCTTTGAGCTCTTCTCTGTGTAGCAATCGAATTAAGAACTGCATCTCCTGTGACAAAACCAAGAATGTGCTTGTCTAAAGCAACAGGCAACCCCCCCCTTTGTGTGATGCTTAGCAGCGGCATCCTGTGTCAGGCTCCTGGGCCAGAATGAGTTACATTAAGCATTACCAAGTAATCATCAAGACGCTGAATCTGAAGGTCAAAGTCGTTCCACCCACCGCAAAGTCGGGATTGTTTACACCCCAACTGATCAATGGTTCTGCATTTTTAGCTGCATTGCTGGTATTTTTTGTATTATCAGGAACCGAGTCCCTGTGTTTTGCAGCATTATCTCCACATTCAAGTTTAACAGCTAAACCAAGAAGCCAGCCAACTGCTTCTTGTCAGTCTTGAGTCTTGAAAGGACAGCTAACATCTGTGAGATGCTTTTCAAAGAACTTGCGTCAGTCACTGCTTTGGATGTCTCTTAAGTTACCTCTGTCTTCAGTCTTGTGGTGTCTGATTTTCTGGTCTTCAAGCCAAACAATAAAGTTTCTAAATTCTGTTTCATCTTTGCAATTGAAGCCAGCAGGGTTGTGGTAGTCGAAAGCCATTAGCTTGTGTGGGAACATAGTCCTGGCTTCTCGTTCTGGTCCCCCGGACTTGGGCAGGAGAGGAGAGGTGAGGAATGGCCCATGCACGGGTGACGGTGATGCGGTGAGAGCCAGAGCATCTTTTTAAAAATACAGATCTGCTCTTGTCTGTATGATTTGCTATTTGCTAACTATGATTTGTACCCTCTGGTCTCTATTCTTTTGCCTGGAATGTACTGACCCTTTCTCTGTTGATCTAAATTGTATTTACCTTTTAAGGATCAACTCACATGTGGCTTCCTTCCCCTGCCTGAGCTTCCAGGGCAGAACTAAGCACCTTGCGCTGCTCCCGCCCACAGCACTCTGTACAGTCCAGCCTGGGAGCTGTGCCTGACGCCCAAGCACACGGGTCTCTTCTGCTCCATAAGCAGCTCCCTACAGGGAAGCCCTCCATCCCTGTGCCCCACTAGTGCCGCATCTCATACTGTGGAGGCTCTCCATCATGTTCGCTGAAAGTACTCCCACCTGAAGCCCTAAAAACATACCTTGGGTTGCCCGGCCAGTGTGGCTCAGTGGTTGAGCGTTGACTTATGAACCAGGAGGTCATGGTTCAATTCCAGTCAGAGCACATGCCCAGTTGGGGGAGGGGTGCCGGAGGCAGCCAATGGGTGATTCTCTCTCATCATTGATGTTTCTATCGCTCTCTCGCTTCCTTTCTGAAATCAATAATAAAAAAAAAACGCATCACATACCTTGGGTTTTCTCAGGTTGTAGTATCCTTTATTTGTTACTTGAACTTTCCATCTGAAAAACAGAGAAGTTAAAAAAACTCATGATTATTCCCAAATTAACTGCCAATTAGCTACAATTATAGCAATCAACTCTGGATGCCTGGGAGATGAGGTCCTTCTATTAAAATAGCATTTGAGCCCTAGCTGGTTTGGCTCAGTGAATAGAGCGTTGGACTGCGGACTGGAAGGTTCCGGGTTTGATTCTGGTCAAGGGCACACACTCTGGTTGTGGGCTCGATCCCTAGTAGCGGGCGTGCAGGAGGCAGCTGATCAATGATACTCTCTCATCATTGATGTTTCTATCTCTCCCTCTCCCTTCCTCTCTGAAATCAATACAAATATTAAAACAATAAATAAAATAGCATTTGAAAAATAAGCACATCTGTGAGTATGCAAATTTTGAGATAAGTATTCAGCCTAACTTGTGACTTCAGTCCTTATATAACAAGAAAATATTACAGCAACAAAATAAAACACCATCATCTATGTATAAGTACAACTAACATAGTCCTTCACTTTTAAATTACATTGAACTTTATAACTTATACAAGACTTCATTTATAAACCAAACAAAATTCTCAAAGCTCAAAATTCTACTTTTTTTGAGGAAGTGCAACTTACCTGTCCAGTTTAATTCCATCTGCTTCCATCACATTTCTTAAGACCTGGGCAACTGGGATTTCACCCGTGTAACTTGTGCCCCAGCCCAATGTATTGGATAGATCGTTGCCTGTTCCCAGAGGCAAGACTGCAACTTGTGGGATGTATTTTTCTTGCCCCTAGAATATGGAAGATAGAGTTTAGATTTTTCTCTTCTATTTGTACAGTAATAACATTTGGTAAAACTTAATGACGGAAGCAATAAAGATATAAATATAACTGAATGTTGTTTTGCTAAAGTTTATGCTAACTGCTTAATCATAATATACCAAATTGGTAGTCTTCTCATATTCATCTACAAATAAAAGATATAACCAAAAATCTTGTATAATTATCTTAGTGCTCATGTGAAAGGCAAGTACTCAGCCTAACGTATGACTTCTCACTCAGATCTTAGCAGTGATGGCGAACCTATGACACGCGTGTCAGAGGTGACATGCAAACTCATTTTTTTGGTTGATTTTTCTTTGTTAAATAGCATTTAAATATATAAAATAAATATCAAAAATATAACTCTTTGTTTTACTATGGTTGCAAATATAAAAAAATTTCTATATGTGACACGGCACCAGAGTTAAGTTACGGTTTTTCAAAATGCTGACATGCCGAGCTCAAAATGTTTGCCATCACTGTCTTATCGGTTGGTACCTTAATCTTCATTTCATCAATGGCATCCAGGACCCAGCCCACAGTCCCATCCCCTCCACACACAAGTACTCGAGCTGAGTGATAAGGAAGAAGAGTACAAAGTTGCAGGGCTTTGATGGGGGGAGTTTTAGTTACATCAAAAACCTAAAAATGAAAGAAAAGAAAACAATTATTTTTATCCAACACTGTCCTTCCACTTGTCAGCATGACTTCCCTCTAGATCAGTGGTTCTCAACCTTCCTAATGCCGTGACCCTTTAATAAAGTTCCTCATGTTGTGGTGACCCCCAACCATAAAATTATTTTCGTTGCTACTTCATAACTGTAATTTTGCTACTGTTATGAATCATAATGTAAATATCTGCTATGCAGGATGTATTTTCATTGTTACAAATTGAACATAATTAAAGCATAGTGATTAATCACAAAAACATTATGTAATTATATATGTGTTTTCCGATGGTCTTAGGCGACCCCTGTGAAAGGGTCGTTCGACCCCCAAAGGGGTCGCGACCCACAGGTTGAGAACTGCTGCTCTAGATGGTATAGACATGGTTAAGTAAAAGACTGGCTGCAATGCACTGATCTGTAACAATATGCCAGGCTCTATGTTAGACTTTTCTTTTCCTTTACATCCTTTTTACTTAATGTATAATGTTGAAAGGGAAAAACGCACATTGGAAGGAAAAACATCAGTGCGTCTTTGATTGTTGCACAATGGGTTGTTTAGTTTTTCAAAGCAGAAGCTGCTAGCACGTAACTTCAATTTCAATGGCGCAATCGTTTTATCCTTATTTTTTAACTGAGGTATAATTTACATCTAATGAAATTCACCCATTTCAAGTGAACAATTCGATGACTGTTAGGAAGTTTACTGAGCTGTGCATCAGCACTTTAGAACTTTCGTCGCTCTGATAAGATCCCTCAGTGTCCGGGTGCAGTCACTTCCGATTTCCTACCTCAGGCGACCATGAATGTACTGTTTCTACAGATTTGCCTTTTCCGGGGAGATCATACATCAAATCATACAATATGGGCCCCTTGCATCTGGCTTCTTGGACAGGTGGGCTGTTTCTACTTTTTGGCTATAATGCTGCTATGAATATTTGCATAAAAGTCTTTGTGAAACATGTTTTCATTTCCCTTGGGTAGATTGAACCCGGGCATGTGCTCTGACCAGGAATCAAACCGTGACCTCCTGGTTCATAGGTCAATGCTCAACCACTGAGCCACACCGGCCAGGCTATATGTTTAATTTTTTAAGAAACCTCCAAACTGTTATCTAACACGGCTGCACCATTTTATACCTTCACCATGAGTTCCTTTCTTAATTTATTAGAATAGTTTGATACTTTTATAATTATTATTCTTTCCTACAATCAGGTGAATACTGGTTGAAAGAATTAATAACCATTACAATTTAGGGAAAATGAAAAGCTAAAATGAAAAGATTAACACTGAAAGGAAGGTTTTCTCTTTAGATACCTGGACTGGGTTTAGAAGGATCCTGAATTCTCCCAATAGTCCATCTCCCATGTTAGTTCCACTACGAGAGTTGGCCAGGATTATTAATGGAGTCCATTGCTTCCCAAGCTTAGAGGCTAGCTAAAAAATTAAGGTGAATGAAAGAGTTAAATATCTCATCTGTACATTGTATTGTGTTCAAGTCAAGTCTCCTTCCATCACCATTTATCCTTTCTATACCTTCCCCCACCTACCCTACCCCTCAATTTTTCATTTCTTGATAACAGTGCTGTAATTTGCTGAGAGAAAAACAACTATCCCAGAACAATAAATACAATATAAAAATCAAAGAACAGGACGGGACCTTAAAGATGACCTAATTTAACTTCCACTTAATGTACGATTCTCTTGTACATTATTCTAGTTAAGTCCTCCAGTGTATGCTTAGATATGCATATAAGAACTCACTAATAAGGCAGCCCATCCTACTGCTAAATTATTACACAGTCTTGACTTAAATGGAGTTAAAAATCTGTCTTTCAATAACTTTTATTCATTGTTCTAATTTCTGTTTTTCCCTATAATGCTGTGCTCAAACACCTGAAGCATATTATCTTTCATTAGTCTTGTCTCCTAGACAATGCATTGCAAGTTCTTTTGACCTTTCATAGAATGGACAATGACTTTCTCTGCTTTTTTACCTTGACTGTCCTTTTCTGGATATAGTCTAATATATAGTTTGCAAGTTTATTTGCTTTTTTCAAATGGGTACTCAGAAATAGATGAAAGAATCCAAACTTGTACAAAGCTTAGTCAAATGAAATTAATTTTTTTCTAACCTAACAATTTATTTCCTCTCCCCTTCTCCTTGTGGATGGAAACATGAATGGAGTTGTTTTGTGTGTTTTTTCTTAGCAATTCTCACTCCTTGTGATCTCAGAGTAAATTAAAATACATTAATGGTTGTACATTTATTTACTTATCTTTATTATAATTTTTTAAATCCTCACCTGAGGATATATTTTTTTTATTGATTCCAGAGAGAGGGAGAGGAGACAGAGAGAGAGAGAGAGAAAGAGAGAGTGAAAAAAAAACATCAATATGAGAGAAAAACATTGATTAAGTTGCCTCCTGTACATGCCCAGACTGGGATTGAAGCTACAACCTAGGTATGTTCCTTGACCGGGAATCAAACCAGAGACCCTTCAATGTATGGGAGACACTCGAACCAACTGAGCCACGCAGAACAGGGCTAGGGATTGTACATTTAAAAATATGTATCACAGCCCGGCCAGTATGGCTCAGTGGTTGAGCATCAACCCATGAACTAGGAGGTTGAAGTTCAATTCCTGGTCAGGGCACATGCCCATGTTGCAGGCTCGATCTCCAGTGGGGGGCATGCAGAAGGCAGCAGATCAATGCTTCTCTCTCTATTCCCCTCCCTCTCTCTCTAAAAAAGAAATCAGTAAAAACATATTTTAAAAAATGTACCACAACATTAAATATAATGTTTTTAAATTTTCAAATTCCCCTTTCTTTTGCAGGAATATTGACAAAGATGACATTTAAGATATAAAATCCTAACTTGGAAAAGACACAATTTAATTTTAAAATAAAGCAGTTTAACCATTTTGGCATATTCATGTAGAAAATCAATGCCAATATTTATAGTTATTCCTTCAGAGCTACATAACGACTGAGAGATACATTTACATCAGTTTTCATACACAAACATACTGTTAAGTGCTGTTAGCAGCTTCCATGTTCAACATTATTTGTGGGATCATATAATGAGCAATGTAAATGCATCTCTAGACACCCTGTGTAAAGTTCCCAATGGAAAAATTCTTCTAGAACAATGTGTGAGGAAAATCTACATTTTCTTTTCACTGACAATAATCATGAATCCCAATCCTAGCTGTTCATCAGAATCATCTGAGAACCTTAAAAATACATGGATGAATTCCTGGGACCTAATTACTAAATCAGACATGGTCATGGAAGTGGGTTCAGGAACCTGTATATTTAAAACGCTCCCCAAGTGATCTAGAAGCAGGCAGTGATTTAGAAACCACTAATATAACATTTCCTTTTAGACATGAAAGAACTCAAGAGCCCACATTTGTGGCACACCTCTAGGATCGGGGTAGGGATTTATGGTTTACCATAACGATTCTCTCATGTACACACAGTTGTAATGGTCACACACTGACTTAAACCACTGCCTGGAAATCAATTACATAAGGACAAATGAACTCTGATTACCATTGCATAATCTGTTTTTTTGTCTTTACGCATCTGATTAATAGAGGTTAAGTAACTGGGTGGAATGATGAGGTTTCTGAATTCTCCAAAATCACATGTTTCGTTCTTTAAGCTACTTCTCATGCACTCATCATGGACAGTTTTCTGACACCAAATGCACCTGAGGGATGGAAGAAACCAAGATAATAATGAGTAACTTAAAACCATAGCTTACTGATCTGCAGATGAATCATTTTTGTCAAAAAAACCTAAAACAGTAATGTCATCACTATTGAACATAAAATCTGGCAACTGAAAGATTTATAATTGTACCTATAGTGAAAATAGAGCAATAAAGTTTGAACATACTTGGCAGTTTGACAGTGTTTTTAAAAGATGGTTTAGGGCTCCTAAGATCCCTTCACGGTGTCTGTGAGGTTAATATCATTTAAAAAAAATAATGATGATGATGATGATGATGTTATTTTTACCCTCAATCTCTCAAAAGTGTGCAGTGGAGTTTTCCAAAAGCTGTATGACAGGTGCTACATCAGTAAACTGATGCAGAAATAGATAGGAGACTCTGAGCTGACTTCTAAGCTAAAGAGATGTACCACAACTAACATCACTCTTTTCTTTAGATTTTCATTTATTTTATTTTGATAAAAATGCAGTATTTAGCCTGGCCAGTGGCTCACTGGTTGAGTGTTGACCTATGAACCAGGAGGTCACAGTTCTATTTCCATCAGGGCACATGCCCGGGTTGCGGGTTTGATCCCCAGTGTGGGGCATGCACGAGGCACCTGATCGATGACTTTCTCTAATCATTGATGTTTCTATCTCTCTCTCCCTCTCCCTTCCTCTCTAAAATTAAAAAAACACACACCCAGTATTTGTTATCATGATCAATCTTTTAAAAATGAATATTGAAAAGTTCTCAGTTTTAATTTATAACATGGTAAATATCAGTAGATCTGATCCACATAAACAAAAGCCAATCTAGAACAACTGTTCTGTGTATTATTCATTTGTGCTTTGGTTGAAGCAGGTTCGTGAGGCCTACAGTCCTTAGTGCTTGAATGCCCCACTGGCCTGGGTCCTTGAAGCATTCCTCAGGGTCCATGTGAAAATATCTTCACTTACATACCCATCTGTGAATATTACTAACGACAGTAAAATAGTCCATTTCTTGGTGGCTGTTAATACAAAATTAATCTATATGTTTGCATTTGAAATACAGACACATGCACATTCAGATCGGCCTTTGTTTGGACCAGTGCTGAAACCAGCAGGAAACAGTGCTGG